GCGGATCGTCTCGATATTACTTAAAGGTGCAAACTCTATAAGCAAAGATAGAAAGTAGCTATAAATCCAAATTAGTTCTATAGTAAGTATGACTACAATTCAGAATTTACAATTTATGAAAGTAATTAATGAATTAAGAGTGGATTGTGTGCGTTAGAAATACTTTGAATCTATTATCTTTAACATGGAAGCATATATTTTATTTATTAAGTAATAAGATTTGACAAACATACTCATTTCTTACTTCCGGCCTAATGATATGATGAAGTTACTTGAAAGAATATAGTTGAGCAAAGAGACAATCTACTTGAGTAATCAGCCAATGAATCTTAATTGAAAAAATATTAAAAGATAAATCTAATAGCTTTCCTAGCAAATGCAGATGAAGACATCCGGTGTAGCAGCATCCTCTGCAACAGTAGACCTTAACATGCACAAATGAAAAAGCGAAATCCTCAAATACAACACGGAGAACACCAAACCGATCACACATGGTGGAAAAATTCTGGGAGATGTGGAAACTTTCATGTACTTGAACAGCATTATCGATGAACAGGGAGAATCTAATGCTGATGTGAAGGTACAGATTGGCAATGCAAGAGCCGCATCCCTACAAAAGAACATATGGAACTCAAGACAACTATCTGTCAACCAATATCAAAGTGAGAATATTCAGTACGAACGTCAATACAATTCTAATATACGGAGCTGAAACTTCGAGAACTACTGTAACCATCGTCACAAAAACACATATATTTATAAACAGTTGTCAATGCAAGATACTCACTATCCGTTTGCCGCATACCATGAACAACAGCCTACTGTGGGTGAGAACAAACCAGCTTCCAGCTGAAGAGGTAATTAGGAAAAGACATTGGGAATGGATAGGACATACATTATGGAAATCATCGAACTGCATCACGAGGTCTGTGCTAACTTGGAATCTGAAGGGAAACTGAAAAGAGGAAGGCCAAAGAACATATTACATTGGGAATTAGAACCAGACATGAAAAGAATGAATAGCAACTGAAAAGAACTAGAAATGATTTCTCAGGACAGAGTTGGATGGAGAATGCTGGTGGTCAGTCTATACTCTTCCACGAGGGATAACAGGCATAAGTAAGTAGTGTAATTTTTCAAACGGTTATGTTTACTAAATATTTAACTGTAACATTATTTTTAGGTGATATAACAACACACGACTAGTTACATTTTCTCTCTTAAATGTGAATTCTCAAAAAAACTCTTATTTCATTAACAGATGTTCTAATAATTTGTAATTTATCTACTCCTTTTATTCATTACGTTACATTCTAAATATAGCAATATTACTAGTATGAGATAGTATATTTTGTTGAATTTCATTGAAATCATTGGTTCGATCTAAGTTATATCACACATGACTACATGAAGATACTGTGAAGTGATGATAAGATCAATATCAAGCAAAATGTATAGTACTCACAGTTAAAATTTTAATTAAGCAACAGTATAAATTTAAAAGTAAATAAACCATGGCAACATTTTCTTAGTCCCTAAATTATATCAAAATGTATAATGTTTACTCTATAGTATACATTCAAAATAACTACTATAAAGATATAATATCAAAAGTGCCTATACATAACATTATTCATCTTTTTTGTATTGATTTTTTCAATATAATTTTGATTTATTTATATAATCCGGATAACTATCTCCTTATTATCAACTCTTTGTGTTTTGTCTATTCAATTGTAGTCTAGGCAAAAAGACTAATGTAAATTTGATCATTGTATATTATGTAACAGGAAATGTAAGAAAATTATATTTATTATTTCTTTAATAATCTTGTATCCATAAATTTACACATAACTGGATTGTCTTTTTTTAGGAACAAAACAAAACAAACAAAAAGGATTCTCTGAATTACAAATGTTTTAATGGTGAAAATCATTTATTCTAATAATCACTATGTTAATTCAATATATTCAATGTTAATTCATCTGATGTTGAAAGTTCTATTCATGAAAAAATAAATAAAAAATACGTGCTTGGAATTACTAATAACTTATAGATATTGAATATGTTTATGCAAATTCTACAATCTTCATAAATTCAGTTATATTGTACAGAAAATAAGTATTAAAATAATGATACTATGACATGTACTACTGATGTCGTCAGATATAAGTAGTATGTATTATCAATCAAAAGTGATATGCCAGAAGTTAGAAGATTAAATAGAAGAGAATGAGAATAAAGAATGATTGGTGTGGAAATGAAAGATTAATGGAATCAGAGACGATTGATTGACATTTTATAAATGAATTATTTATTGTATGATTCTCAGATTTTACTAAGATATTCTGTAATGCTGTATTCAAATACATTCGATTATCCCCACTTGTGTTCTCGTTCAATACTATACTTGATAGAGTCATATATCATTTAGATCAGGCTTTGTTGCTCTGATGAAATTACACAATATTTTATTAAGATTATTATTATCTTAAAGATCAGAAAATCTAGTTTAAAAACAACTTTATATTTTGTGTTTTAAAAATTGAATCATTTCGATCATGATCTAATAAATCTTAATATCATGTTCTATGATTTAAGTGAACGGAAGATTTACGGACAAACTATTTAAACAAATGTATAACAATGAAATGCTTATATATAAACATATTATGTAAGCAGTAACAAATGGTACATTAAGTGAAGTATCTGTTTACAATAAAGTAAACAATCTTGTAAAAAATGTCTCTTTAGATGACATGCTACTAATTTAACTCTTTCTAAGGATTTATGGTAAAAGTATTTAACAAGCAGTAAACTTTATCCATTGAAATCATGAACTCATCAATTTTAAACTACTATTGAAAATCTGGAAGCGTTAGACGGTCGTTTCGTCCCAGTATGGAACACATCAGTAGTGTACATCCACAATCACGCACGCAAGATGTGAACCCAGGACCTTCGGTCTCATGCGAACACTTAATATCTAGATCACTGAGCCAGAATCCGATGATGTTAATGTCTGACTTCAGCCAATCCATAATGCTGCGCGACCATCTTTTATTGTCTTTTGTGGGTAACTGCCTCAGATTCGACAAATTTGAACTCCACTGGTCACAACTCACTGGAACTTCGAGGATTTCATTCTCAAAGCTAGTTACTGGTGAAGGCATGATAATTTTCATTTTAGGATTGCTGATGTTTTTGACTTTCACTTGATTCATGGACCGATCAATGTTGGATCGAAGGTGCTGTGTTTAAATCCCGCGTGCGGGGCCGTGAATGAGCATTACAGAGGTGTTCTACACTAAGATAAAACGACTGTCCAGTGATTTGGTGGTCTAACATTAATCGGCTCATGATTTCAATGAAACTCAATAATATCCTTAACCTCAAACTGAAAATTTATGTAATTATATAAATGGGCATATATATAATGTTCCGACTGTCCTTTCTTGCAATAAAAATAAATAAATAAGAAAATGAAAGTCATGTATTTAAGCCATCAACTAGAAACTGTTTGGTATGTTCAAGAGAATAATTCAATAAATTCTTATACACGTTATTTTAGCATGATACTCCAACAAATATGCTTCGTCAATATAAGAAAACATGAAGTTCACTACAGTGAGAGGATCTGCTGATGTGAGATAAAGTACTTTTGCAATCATACCAGTATAAATCAAAACTATTTCACTATTTTATCGATTGAAAATTCATCTATAGTTTTACTGACTTTATTAAAACAATCATTCGACAATAAGAAACACTAAATAGCTGTTAAGTTTTAGTATAGTTGTGAATAACTATCCAGTTCAACATTGTTCATGAATTAACCTTTTATTTACTGTTAAGTGTAAGTATGTAAATGTCAAGATTGACTTTTGATTGTTTAGAAGTATAAAAATTTGTTTTTTTTTGTTTTTACCCATAACTATTCTCATTTATAGGTGAAAATAGAATTAAAATTATCAAAATTGTTAAACAATATTAATTGTAAACTCTTGAAAATGTCATTTTTTCTCTTTGACTTATATAATCAACTTCATATTATAATACCTTAAAAATCCAAGACATTAACAGATTATTTTTAGTTTTTCTTATCACCATGTGAATCTGATAAATTGGGACAAATTTCCTTTGATTGTAATATATTATAATTACAATAGTTAAGCAATGGTTATATTTCTTTGCATATTTTCTTACACATTCATACCAATTAATATTTTTCCACATTGATGAAACTGTATACGCATGAATGAGTTCAATAAATAGTAATGGAAGTTAATTTTTCCACAGTGTTAATGCAATTCTAACACTAGGAATTAAAAATAATTTTACTCGTGATCTGATGTGGTTACATGACAGAACGCCTTCAGCTAGGTGAGTTCATTGAAACTAATATGGTTAGCATCAAATATTGTAGACTAACAGAGCTACTGCTTTTGGGGATTTATTTTCTTTAAAAAAACAACTCTTATTCATTAGTTATATGATAATTAACTTTATCTTTCTTAAAATATCAAAGAAGACTAAATATTTCATCTTTTGAAACATTTCTTAAATAAAAAAGATCTGAGTAATCACTTTAAACGGTTAGGTAATTATAATCAAGATGAAATCAACCATTTTAATTCATAAGAATGAACTATCAATTAAAGTATCAATCATCAAACTGTCGTTTTGCTTAAATACTCTAATTTCAAAATATTAAAACATCTTAATCTCCTTACAATAAAATCATGGATATATACAAATTTTATAAATAATTATATTGTACATCAATTTTCTTTTACTGTGATATATTAAAAATTCATAAACTAGTTAAAATTATAAGCAGAGATAAATAGTAGCTAGCAATGGAATCAACAACACGCGTTTCGTCCTATTTCAGATTCATCAGCTGGATGTACTTACATCTTAGAATTGATGTTCATTTAGAATTATTTGTCAATGTAATATATTATTTATATTCACTAATAAATTCAAATAAAACTCACCCGAATGGAAAAAATGTTGATAATTTTGGATGAATTTCAAATGCATTTTTAAATATTAAACAACCAGTACGTATTGGATTTTGTGATAATAGTGGCCATGTAGAAAATAAAACATCCAATTCTAAATCAGAAAATAATTGTCGAAATGATTTATTCTCTGGTATACTTTGTAAATTTATATTATCATTATCTATATTTTGATTATTTAATAAATCTATAGAATTTTCTCTTGGTTTTATATTGTTTATTGATGTTTTACTTGTTTTTATAATAATTTGTGAATTCCTAGTTAAACTTGATTTTTTTTGTTTATTACTAGTTGGACGACTTTGCTCTGAACCCATATTATTATAATTATTATTATTACTATTGCAATTATTATTATATTAGTGGTACTTTTTTTTTGTTTATTAATCAGTAATGTTTAATAATTCAAAATTTTTTTATCATTTTTAATAAAGAAATAGTATTAGTTGTTGCCAACAAGTTAATTTATTTTTTGTTTAAAAAGCGGTAAAGTTGAATGGGTTTTGGATGTTTATTTCATATAGTTGACTGTAAAAATAAATAAACTTATAGTATTTTTTTCTTTTCTTTTTTTCTTCCCATTCTATTGTGATTTTTAGCTTATATATATATATATATATATATATATATATATATATATATATATATATATATATATATATATATATATATATAGGGAAATCGGCACATGTAGTGAGTAAAACAATATTCATTTTATAAGATGAACATAACAATAATAAAAAATAGCTAATAAATGTAAAGACAAATGAGATGTGTTAAGATCTAAAAGCTCCAATCATATGTAGTCATATTGTAATGGCATAGTTTCTGCCAATAGAAATGATCTATATGATTTGATGACCTTCAAGTGGGATATTCATATAATGAAGATAGATGTCACAATTTTTTTTAATTGTTGAATTCCGAAAAATAATTCATGTGAGAAATCATACTGTTTGATTAGAAATAGAAAGACGATTTACCGAGAATGCTTTGTTGTTCTACATAATTAACTATATTATTAATTTTAAGCCAAGTTTTAACAGTAGTTCGAAGTTAAATTCAAGATGAATGTTTCGTGCTATCTAGAACTTGTCAGCTAGATATACCTCAACCTCAATATTGTCGCTCATGCTAAGACCCGAAGTCGATTTCCTTCTTTTTTCAAACTTCTAATGCGTTATCCATTGAGCTGCTGAGTTCAGATAACCACTGGCTTGGATCACTCCGTTTTCGAAGTATATCCTGAGCATCAACAAAAAAAAATACAAACTTACGAATAATTTATATTATCCATTGTTTCTATTTCGGTGAAGATGAAATAAAAGGGGTCTTATGATAAATTCGATGTCAAACTGTTAATAAAATAAATACGGTACGAAAGGTTGTGCTGTTTATTCGAGATTTTCATATTTATAAATTAGTTTAATCACAAATATTCGATTTAATGTTTGTTGTTTAAACACCTAAACAGTGGTACAAGGAGGCACCAAATAGATATGCGCTTTATAAATCATTTGATTTTTGTGAGGACTGGGATACTGGCCAGGTACCCAAACCGAAGTAGGCAGTTTTCTTAGGGGGTCACACTCAGAACCTTTGACCTAAATGTCTAATCCACACGGCAGTGGAGCAACATCAGGAGATGCAGTCCCTTGTTAGCCGGTGACCAACGATTGGTTCATATGCCATTTGTTTCTTCAGGATATTGGAACCCATGTGCACCAGTGGTTTGGAATCAGGGTTTTCCAACAACCCTAGGTGGATCCTCCACGTCCACCAACCTGGTTAAACGCCGGACGTTCGCTTTTCGTCCCCACAATTTCGTAAACAACACCCCCCCAACCAGGAGGCAGTGAGCAGGACATCCCTGACAGTGGTTGTATACACGTGGCCATGTAAGAGCATTTCGAGAGGGAGAGCTGACTCTACCTACTCTCGGCCATACCAGGGTAATGCCTAACTTCAACTACAGCAGCCTTTGTAAATATTTCATGCGAACAGCAATTATCGAAACTGACAGGTTTTATAACTTAATTCATAAATACGACTGACTACTCAAGTAGATAAATATATCACTTCTTTATGACAAATACAGTTTGTTTGATTCTTATTTCTTATCTATCTATACTTTTTATTTAAGTACTTAATAGAATATACAGGCATTTACGTTTGATTACTTAGTAACAAGTGATATAATTAGTATTGTGTGGTTGATATTAATCTTAGGGGTGAAATAATAAAGCTGAAAAGAAAAGTGAAACGATGGAAAGTCTTCATAATAAAAAATACTATGATATTAGGATATGAGTTTGACTTCTATTACAAATCTAGACATCACAATACTGGGATGGCTAACAAAATAATATCGACATATATAATTGCGTTTTGACCAGCTATTGGTATGCTAATAAACCAAAATAAAATACGTATTTGTTGAGCTTGGTTTTTGTGACCATTGTGTTACATGAAATTATTCAACAGACAGAATTGACGTTTTTATGACATCTTAAATATGATACTACTTAAAAACTTACGTCAATTAACGAGCCATTATTAGCTAGAAAATATTAGGTAGCTATTTCATTTTAATTTGAGGTTCTTTGACAGTATAAATCCAATATTGTAAATATCATCAAAACTTGAACAGTTAGATATAGTGGTGTGCGCGAAATGTTTACCTAATGATGTATAATTCATCTGCATACAATTTAAACTTTGATGAGTTTGTTGTATATCGAAATTCTTAATTTACAGAAATTAATCGATTACCATTTCATCGTTTCAACCTAAGTGACTTTAAAAATCATACTAATGTTCCATTGGTTTCAGTTAATGAGTGAAATTAAAGTGCATATTGATATCAGTTAACCTATTTCTTTTAACTTTCCTTATTTTGACTCAGTAAATGTTATCAACACGTCTATATAATTTGTAAATCATTTCAGTTGATTATTTGCCCGTTTTCGCCGTACGTTTGATCTTTACGTTACAATAATACGGTATCTGATAAAAAGTATATACATTTTTTCATTAAATAATGATAATATAACGGATATATATAGCATTACAATTTACACTAATATCAAAAATGGGTCACTTGTAGAAAAAACGAGTCCGGAAAAGTACTCATACTTCGGATAATAGCGACTTTGTTATAAACTATACACCATACCCGCCAACTGCTTTTGCAACCGATAATAGTAGGATTTGAATTACGCCTTACATGCTGCTGGACAACTCAGTCTCCACTAACGCGTTCCATTATCATCGATAATATAAAGAGTTAATTAGATATTGCATATTAGCAATCAAGCGAGATGCGTTTTAACATGTAGTCACTTGTGGTAATATTAAGCAAGAAATATAGGTTTATTACTCCTTAAACTACTATTATCGAAGAACGTGGTTACTGTAGAGCATTAGAGCATTCTTAAAGCAGCATCTGCTATCGATTACATTTCCGACGAAGTTACTAGGTGAATGATTTCTAGAAATAACGTATTTTTCTATAAAATGCCTGACAAAATCCCACTCAATTCACTGGGACATCCAATACTGAATGCAGCTAACCTTCGAAATAGTCCATGTCAATGTGTTAACCTTTATAAAGCACCAGATTTGACTCACATTTGGCAATTGAATGACTGAAAGAATCCGGATGGTTAGTCTGCGCACTTACGAAGTTCAGGGATGCTGTTTTAGATAATATCCTACTTTCGAAAAGACTAACTCAACCTCTTGATGAAAGTGCTTTCAGAATATAGACAATAATTGATTTGTTTACAAGACATTATCAGTTTGCCGAACTATACTACAAAATCAGTAACCAGATTGGTGTCTAGAATGGTAATAACGAATTACTCTTAGAACGACTTGATATGGAAAGATCATACTTTACGTATACCAACGTTTTACGTTTCATTTTGGAAAGCAGTGCTCATAAAGTCAAAAACGAAAATGTTAGTGTTTGGGAAAAAATATTATTTTCTATTGTACATAGCGTTAGACTACTAGGGCTAGATAAGCTACCGACAGAAGAAATATTTCTCAATAGCACACTACAGAGAGTTGTTTGGGATGTTGGACCTATCGTCCTCGTTACCTTAACCTCGTTAAAACATGTACAATAAATGTCAATAATAAATAAGTACTGAAATATTTTTCTTGGGTAGTTTGTTCCTCAGTACCACTCATTACTTTAGGATTTTATCAGGACTTATGTTGGTTAATTGATCAGCTAACATCCAATGATATTCGAGGAGATCAAAAACTGTCCCTTAAATATAAGAATCGAACACAAAGAAGATGGTCAATCCATATAAGCTCATCACAAAGATGTTAGATATTTAGTACAGGGAATTACTCAATCATTTCTAAGGGAGAATAAAGTCGTATTATACCTGTATTCGGGGAAATTTCCGTAGGGCCTGTCACTATGGGTGTCATATTAGTTTTTTTCCACAATCTGTTTGTACATTGCTGTCCGGTGAAATTCGATATAGTTGGCCAATTAGAAGTGCATTTACCACTAAATGCTTGTGCATGTTGTTTAAGTGTATGACTTTGAACACACTTTCTTCCGTCATGTTACACTCATAGCATGACACACGCTGTTATCTGCTAACAAATACATTACTATGAACACACCTCTTGTTCTTCATTGCTCGTGGTTGTGATAACTGAACTCTAAATCATCTACTATCTACATTTATAAACTGCAGCCACATTTATATTATATTCTACGTTTGGCTATACCATTGGACAGACAACAATCTTACTGGAATCACTAATCATCTATTATTGTGGATTCTGGTACCAAACTCAACCTAAACACGCACAAGCCAGCTGAATTAAGTAACGTCAAAATTTTTATTGTGTTTATAACGTTTAAAGGATATATTTTAACGTTACTGTTTGTACTCACTAACGTTGTTACTATTTTTAAGTTCATATGTTGTTTGGTCCACCACAAACTGTTCGACATTTAGTGACCCGACTGACGGATGATTTGGCTAGAGCTCACTCATATTTCACTGACTCTATAATGTTTCTGTCATCTTATTCTTCGGTTTACATGTTGTTTCTCATTATTTCACAGTTATTTGCAACTAGGAGAAAGTTCAAAAACCTATAGTTAATAACTCACGTTATCAGGAAAATTTCTGAAAATCACGAAAAATCATCTAGATGAAATTTTCTTTCATACACTAGGTATTCTCACCAGGAGCATGCTTTCAGACAGTTTTCATAACGAATCTACTTTTTAATGATTTGTTGTTTTTATTTTTGGTTTATTTTCTATATCTACTTGAGAACTTTCATTTTCAGAATGTGTATTGCAAAACGTATGGTTAATAAAATTGTTTCTTATTACAAGGGAATACTGTAATAAAAATAGTGCTCAGAAAATTCTTGCCCACTAATGCTGATTGTGATCTATTGTGAATGGAGTGTACTATTGTAGATAAGTATTAGAATCGATATAGACAAGTGAGCTGTTTGCTTAATATGTTCTGAAGTCGGTGAACAAAAGCGTTTGTTTACTGATAGAAAAAATGGCCTTGTAGAAGTATAAGGTTTGCGTAAGGAGAATTCGTGCTGATGGCTAGGCTTCTGTTATTCGAGATTCGTGGCCAGTGTCATTAGTTGATAAGTGCGAGATGGATGCAGATGGTCTGGTAAGAGAAGTGCGCAAAAGGTGTTGTTGTAGCAATGTGCAAAGTGCATAGTGTTTGTCATTTCAGCACTTGCCCTTGGCATCTACAAAATAGCCAGAGGAAGGGTGACTTACGGTATCTTTACTCAGCTGAAGAGATTTCGATGGCTGGTAGAACAGAAGAAACACTGAGGGAAACACTTATTTTTTAATCCTCCACTCTGTGTAGTAATTGAATTCTTACCCAGGACCTGTGTAACCGT